AATGGTGCAACCAGAAGTTACGTGAAACTAGACAGGCAGAGTTACAGTATGTATTGGCATTCAGTTATTCCTGTCTTTTAATAGTCCCAGGGAAGTCTGAAGTAAAACTAAAGGCAACTACACTGAATCCTCCATTGCATGAAGGCATGTTCTGAACACTCAGTCTATCCAATTCCCATGGTGGCATAGGAGTTCTGAGGTGGGTAAAATGAGGACCCAGATTGTTGGGGGCAATATGCTGATTCTGTAAGCTGCTTAGAGAGGGCTGTAAAAGCACTGTGAAGCAGTATATAAGTCTAAGTGCTATTGCTATTCAAGTTGACACACTGATGGTTGGTTCTTAACTCTTATTTAGCCTCCCTCTAAATTTCCTAACAATTTTGGGAACAGATTAGCTTCAGGTTCACAAATCATATATTCTTTGGGAGCAGGATAATACCATTTTTGATTTCCTGGCATGCAAGACTCTTAACCTCCAGTCTCAAACTACTGCTATCAATCACACCTTATCAAATGTACCTCCAACCTGTCAGCTAAATTTTTAGACTATACATATGTGTTCGGAAATGGAAAAATACAGACTTTGTCCCACCAGTTCCATGACTGCATAATCAATCTTCTTTCTGTAGCCCAGGTTTCTGTAAAATACCCCTATCCAGTGTCAAATACTGAGTTAGCATACTTGAAGGAATATCAAGAAGGATATTCCTCTGCATGATTCCCTTCATGTCAAAGGTTCAGAAATCTGCTAATTAACTATTAAATATCATTAGCTCTTTCCTTCAGTTTGTGAATTCTTGAAACAGGAGGCACACATTTTTGGGTCTGAGGGGGACTTACAATTTGATTTGAATGAAAATAATGTCACAAATATTTAATTACCTTTTTTGTTATGGAAAGCTTGAACATAGAGTAGTGCCTTGCTGATTGAGTAACAGCTCCTGGGTGTTTCAAAAACTTATAGATCATATTTTTCATGATTTTTGGATTATGTATCTAGATCAGTGGTGGCGAACCTATGGCATGGGTGCCAGAGGTGGCACTCGGAGCCCTCTCTGTGGGCACACGTGCCATTGCCCCAGCCGTGCCTTCCCCTGCAACCCCCTCCTCACCAGCAGCCTCCCTGGAGGAGAGTCGCCCCTGAGCATGGCCCACGCAGAGCAGCGCAGCCAAGGACATGGCAGCCAGGCAGCATAGACAAGACTCTGCCCTCATGCCCCATCACACACAGTTGATGCTGCGGGGCACGGGCAGAGGGCGTGGCTGCCATGGCACTGCTGGGCTGCCTGGATGATCTGCGGCAGGCCCAGGAGGCGGTGAGTGGCCCTGCGGGCAGGTCGGGTGGGGGCGGGGCAGGGGGTGGAGCAGGGGCGGGGCCAGTTTTTGGGCACTCGGTCTCTACAAGGTTTGCCATCACTGATCTAGATGATCTGTTCATTTACCTTGAGGATCCCGTTTTTCCTACTGATCAAATCCAGCTGTTATTCAATGCCTTCATTACTGCAGTCTCAATTCTAAACTAAATTTTTGGTTTTCATAAATTTCACTATTAGGAATATTGTATTCTGCAAAAGGAATTTAGATGGATCCATTAAAAGTAGAACTCATTCTGTCTTGGATTCTCTACTGTATCATCAGGGTTGCATAGCATTTTCTGGGGTTTACCAAATGTTACAGTAGATGTATACCCAATTTTGTTTCAATATCCATGCTATTAACCTATTTTATCAAGAAAGTGAGATTTTTATAGCTGACAAGTCTTTATTCATGTCATACAATGGTTTCCTTCTCTGTGATACAGATCTAGAACAGAACAGAATAGAACAGAACAGAACAGAACAGAATAGATATAGAATGGAATAGAATAGAATAGAATAGAATTGAAAGGGACCTTGGTAATTTTCTAGTCCAGCCCCCTGCTCAAGCAGGAGAACCTATACCATTTCAGACATGTGATTCTCTAGCCTCTTCTTAAAAATCTCCAGTGATGGAGCGAGCGCCCACGATTTCTGGAGGCAAGCTGTTCCACTGATTAAATGTCCTCATTGTCAGGAAGTTTCTCCTTAATTCCAGGTTGCTTCTCTCTTTGATCAATTTCCAACCATTGTTTCTTGTCCTGCCCTCTGGTGCTTTGGAGAATAATGTGACCCCCTCTTCTTTGTGGCAGACCCTCAAATACTGGAATACTGCTATCATGTCTCCCCTATTTCTTCTTTTCTTTAAACTAGTCAAACCCAAATCCTGCAGCTGTTCTTCATATGTTTTAGTCTCCAGGCCTTTGATTATCTTAGTTGCTCTTCTCTGAATTTGTTTTCCAAACTCTCAGCATCTTTTTTGTAATATGGTGACCAAAATTGGTTGCAGTATTCCAGGTGTGGTCTTATGAGAACTTTATAAAGCGGTACTAATACTTCGCATGATCTTGATTCTATGCCTCTGTTTATACAACCCAGGATTTTATTAGCTTTTTTGGCTGCTGCTTCACACTGCTGGCTCATAGTCAAGTGATCATCTACTAGGACTCCAAGCTCCCTCTCACAGTTGCTGTTTTTGAGCCAGGTCTCACCTGATCTGTACTTGTACCTTTGATTTTTCCTGCCTAAATGTAAGACTTTGTTTTTTTCCACATTGAAACTCATTTTGTTGGATAGGGCCCATTGTTCAAATTTGTCAAGATCTTTTTGGATCTTGAGTTTGTCTTCTGGGGTATTGGCTACTCCTGCCAGTTTAGTGTCATCTGCAAATTTGATGAGTTCCCCTTCTATTCCCTCATCTAAGACATTTATGAAGATATTGAAGAGTACTTGGCCTAAGATCT